TAGAAAGAACACTTGCTAGTGTCAGAGGACCTCAGCTGATATCCAACCTTTGGTGCTTATTACCTTTGTGATTTAGGCTAGTGACAACCTTCTTGGGCCTCAGATTCTTCACCTGCAAAATGAAGATCTCTTCTAGCTACACACAGCTATGACCTTATGATCCAGTCCCCTGATCCCCTCCCATATTTTCATCTGAGTAACGGCAGAGAAGTTGCAGCCCCATTGGCTGCAATCCTTTATAGGTGTCCTTGAGCTGAAATTGTATATGGGGGGAAATATCACAATTAGAGACCATCTCCACTAAGTACACTTAACATTTCCACCACCCACTTTCTTAGGATTCTTTTAAATCAGGGATTTGCTTCTGGTTTCAGCTCTGAAAGTTCCTTCCTGAGAGTACAATCTACAACACAATAATTCAATTAGGCAAGATTTATATCTCCAGGTTGCTATGGAGATTGAATCTCCATTTCTTTTTAATGGGTATTCAGGGACTCTCCCAAGGAAGAAGATGCTGGTTTTAAGGGCTCAGCATTTGTGGGTGGATGGGGCTGATTAGTTCAGGTAAACGTGAGAGAGGAGACTCCAAATTGTGTCCGGAAGAGACAAGGTTTCGAATAAAGACCTCAATCCCAATAACCCTAGAAATGAAGCAAAAGAAAACAGAACTTCCCTGGGGGACTGCTACATCATTCTGGATTATCTCCTTCAGTGCCTTAGAGGGAAGGGAGAAAAGGAGAGCACTGTGAGCATTCTCCCTTATCTCAGGCTACCAAAATCCTCTTTCCAGCTGAAACTTGTCTCCCTCCACAAGTTTCCCTAGACTCTTTTGTCTGTCTCTCTCTAGCTAACACCTTCTGCCTTGTGTCATGCAAGTGCCTGGCACATAGTAGGTGCTTGGAAAATATTTGTTGATTAAGTGATATATGCCTATTTAACAGAGTGATTGTGAGAAGCAAATGAGAGTATATTGGTAAAGTGTTTGGTAACCCTCAATGCAAAGAGGGAGGTAGTGTGGTGAAGTGAAAAGAGGTTTGGCTCTGGAGTCAGAGGACCTGCACCCTGATTCTTGGGAGTCCTTTAGTGAATCACTTCAGCTACATAACATATGACAATTCATACAGCTCTAAATCTATGATCCGATGGCTAGCTCACTCTCTCAGTGATCTCATCAGCTCCCATGGATTCCATGATCATCTTTATACACATGACTCCCACACAAATTTTTATATCCAAGCTGTCATCTCCTTTTAGAGATCAAGTTCTAACTGCCTGCTGGACATCTGCATTTAGATGTCCCACAGACATATACAAAACACAGTTCATCATCCTCCAAGCATCTGTTTCTGTCAGGAGCCATTTTTCTAGCCACCTCAGAATCATCCTTGACTCTTATGCTCTCTCAGTGCCAAGTCCTCTCCATTCTAGCTCCACGCCATTTCAAGCAATACTCTTTCTTTTCTCCACTACCTTAGGATACAATGGATAACAACCAGCCATCTTGACTTTTGTCTTCCAGTGGACTTAGATGACTCTGGAAAGAGTGAGGCTAATCTGGAGTCAGGAATACCTGAATTCAAATCTTGTCTTGGATACTTGCTAGCTGTGTGGCCCTGGGCAAATCACTTATTCCTGTTTGCCTCACTTTCCTCCTCTGTAAAGCGAGCTGGAGAAAGGAATGGCAAACCACTTTGCTAAGAAAATCCCAAAAGGGGTCATGAAGAGTCAAACATTACTGAAAACGACTAAACAACAACAAAAAAATCAATCACACTTTGGCTCTTGATAACTAATGAGGAGGAGCCAGACATTGGTCCTTTGCAAACTAGCCTCCTGCTTCTGTCTCTTTCCAGTAGACCACCCAGCCACAAGGTCTGGATTAGTATTAGAGACTCAACCCTCCTTTCTCCACTCTTCCCCCATACTCCCTTTCCACTTTTTACTCAGGAAGTGATAATTGAATCACCTCTTAGCTGCTGAGTGAAAATTTACTATCTGAAGGCTAACAAGTTCTCCTTTACCCAGAGTCCTTGATTTGGAGTTCTAGATTGCTTTTTAGCTCCTTTTTCCTGCTGCTGCACCCTACCCTCCATCATTCCACCCATAACCACTTCTGGTTCCCTATCCCTCATTCTTTCTTTCCATTATAACCTGTGGAACCATCACTGTATTGTTGACAAAATGCTTTTGTATTCCTACTATCCCTCTCCTTCTTCTTCTTTCTTGCAATCTAGGAAAGCACCCAAAAGACCTTCCATTTCTGGTCACTCTCTCTAGTATTTTGGCACTTTCTTTCATCTCTTCTCCTTCTTACTGCCATCACACACATTTGGCCCAGCAGGGATGAGGGATGCTTGCTGTTCCTCTGTGCTCACTTCCAGACTTTCTCCCTAATAGTATCAATGAGCAACATCTCCTCTGTGGTTCTCTCAATCTGGATATGTTACCAGACCCCAAGCCTATTGGCAATTATGTGCTCACTCTCCTCTTCTCCCTCCTTTCTCAAGGAATTCAACACATTGTGTCGTTTGTATGCTGAACATGTAAGATATTGCACATCCTCATGACTTTTCTAAATATGTAAATATATGACCCAAAGGGAGGTACTGAAAGATATGAAATGAGGCCTTTGACCACTCTGAGGAGAGAAGGAAAGCCAGCATCATAGTTGCTGTGGGATTAGAGGGGGAAGAACTGGAAAACCCCGAAGTACTGTCAGATCAGCAAACTTTCCTCCAGTTTCTGGTAAGAGGTACCAGACTAGAATCTGTTCCCCAAAATATTCCTCCTGTACAATAGGTTCAAAAGCTGCTAGCTTTCCTGGACATTGTCCCTTAAAGGAAGAAGGGTGACCTTTAACTTAAATTCATCAGTTTATCTCCTTTCCAACCAAGATCTAGGTTGCACAAAAGCCAATCAGAAATAGTGAAAAGCAAGTAAACCAATTTATCCAAGCAAATAAAAGACAGAAGTCAGAGAAATAATACAGATTTGCATATACCAGAAAATTCACAGTGAATGAGCTTTCTGCTTCTCAGTGTAAGGTAGCTCAAACCAAGAGACAGAGGCCTGAAGGGAATCACCCCATGGGAAATTCCCTGAAGTCTCTAAGGGGAAAAATGAAAATTAGGGATGTCGACATGTTGCAGAGCCAGCTTCCCCAACACATCTGTTACTTCCAAAGTATTTTCTCTTTCTCACATGTCTAGAACCATAGATGTTTCTCTTGAAGAACAAATGTGAATATCTTGCCTCTCCAAAGCTTTTACACTGACTCTGCCCCTTATGTGTCACCTGGTGCTCAGCATTCTCTCCACTAAATATGACCTAAAATGATTAAACAACAATGACAAATCAATCACACTTTGTCTCTTGATAACCAGAGAGGACCCAGACATGGGCCCCTGGTAACCTACTCTTCTGATTCTACCTATTGCCAGTAGGCTACCTGGCACAAATGTCACATACATAGCACACAAACTAGGCTTGTCTTGAAACCCAGGTTACATTTATACATAGCCTTTTCTGCCTCAACCCCTGCCCTTGTCCTTGGGGACTCCAATTTATATGGTGTTGTCCCCTCAAACTCTCCAGCTTCCCACCTTATCATCCTCCTAAATTCTCTTGATTTGTAACTTCACTCCATTTTAGCCAAATAAGCTATGGTCATACCCTTTGCCTCATTAACACCCACAAGAGCTTTATCTCTAAAACCCTGAAATTGCTCATCTGACTATAACCTCCTATCCTTCCATCTCTCCCAGTGCCTTTCCCTTGGGAAATCCATCTTCTATGCTCACTACAACCCTAGGTTAGCTCTCTCTAATAACTGTTCCCTTTTAGGGATTGATCATTTCCACTGACCCCTCCATTTCTTCAATGGCTTGCCAGAGTCCCACTAGCTTCAGCTTCATCTCCGCCATGATAAGAGTCTGCATGCTTTGTCATCCTTAACAATACCGAAATTATCAACTGACACCCAGTTACTTACCAACTGTTTAGAATGGGGGGAGGGGGCTATGATGACTTACTCTTCCCTCAGTGAGCTCCAGTCAGAATAACATGTCTCAGAAAAGTAAGCCTCAGTAAGAGACATGAGAGAAGACTGAAGAAGCAACTTTCTGTCACTAAAAGGGTGAAACCCCTTTTAATCAAAATAATATTAGCAACAGCAACAGCAGCAGCAGTTGGCATTTATGTGATTTAAGATTTGCAAAAAGATTTACAAGTATTATCACATTTGATTCTCATAATAACTCTGGGAGGGAAGTGCTATTAATATCCTGATTTTCCAAATAAGGAAACTGAAGCAAATAGAGGGTAAGTGAGTTCTACAGGTTCATACAGCTAGAAAACATCTGAGGCTGGATTTGAACACAGGTCTTCCTGACTCTGGGCCCAGCGCTCTATCTGTCCCCAGTAGCAACCTTGATGCTTCTATCAACTGTCCTTGGAAAACAGGCACCTCCACTGACTCTTCTGGGATTGCAGATTTAGAGCTGGAAGGGACCTTAGTGAGCAACTCATCTAACTCACCCTTTACAGGTAAGGAAAGTAGGGTCCAGAGAAATTAAATGACTTGTCCAGGTAGTAAGTAGCAAAGGTGGGATTTGAACCCAGACCCTCTGACTCTAAACCCATTGATCTTGCCTCTACCACTGTATAGAATATATAGAATATATAATATGTATAGAGTGGACTAGCACCTCTGGGCCTGTTGAGCCCTTTTCAGGGCTGCTTGTCCACCTTTGGTGTCCATCTACCTATCACCCAACTCTCACCTGTGGTTCCAAGAAGCTATAGCATTCATAGTGGTCATACCCTGGTACAACCATCTCAGCAGACAGGCTAAACTAGGTTTGAGGGAAACTGATAGGCCTTAAGCCAGTCAGTGAGTTAGGGGAATATTTACCCCAAGCATGTGAAGACTTCCCTTGGAGGAATGGGCAGATGAGAACAATCTGTCCCAGTGACCATGAAGGTGGTTGAAGCAGGCTTACCAGATCTTAGAGCTTGATGTGATATGGAAGATGCCAGGGTCATCCAATGCATCCTGGAGGGGTGGTGGTGTGGAGAGCAGGGGACATACACATCGTCTTGACTTTTGTCTTGCCTCCGAACTTGGATGACTCAGAAAGAGAGAGTGAGGCTGATGACTGTGCAACTCTGCCTCACTTGAACCCAATTCACGTGCAAGTCAAGACATCACCCAACATCCACTATTTTACCCCAATATCATGACATCATTGGTTCTCTTTGAAAACGAAAGATGAACAACAACCTTCAGAGATCAGGGCTGAGCAGGCCTAGATCCTTTGTAGAAGGAAACTGACCACAGCCAAAGTACAGGTAGAGCTTAAAGACATGGGTCATCTTAAGATTCCAGTTGCCTCCTCTTCTTTCTGGGCAACAAAAGTTCATTCCTTAGCACTTCCTCTTTTCTCTGTTGTCCATAAGGGAGATAAGACTGGAGATAGGATGAGTGTTGACTGGTCATCTACTTTCATCTTCCTTTCAAGAATACTTGTACGTCTGTCTGTTAGCTTCAAGTTACTGCTCAACATCATGGTTTCGTCTTATAGAGACCATATTGATGGATTTGGGTGTATGTACGAAGCTGGAAATTTCCCTGAAAAATATCACATCCTTGCTGATCTTCCCCTTTTTATCTCCTACTTCTCAGGAAAAAATGACTTTAGTTTACCAGGGTTCAGCTTGATAAAATCCTATTGTCTTTGGATGAAAAGATCCCAGGATAAGAAAGTGATGGCATTTCGATCAACCAATCAATCGTTCGACAAGTATGTATGTATTCGGCGCTTACTGTGGCCCAGGTACTGCTAATGGCTGGGGATGCAAAGAAAAGCAAAAATAGTCCCTGCTCTAAAGGAGCCTACATTCCCATTTGGGAGACAACTTTTAAATAACTGTGCTCATGCAAGATACAGACAGGGTAGAAGCAAAGTCATCTCAGAGGCGAGGCACTAGCAACCAACTTATTAACAATTATTTATTAACTACTAGGTACTGGGCACACTGGGGTTGCAAATAAAAAAAAAAAGGAAAACCTGCTTGCTCCCTAAAGAGATTACATTCTGTTGGGAGAGACATTGTATATATGTGTGAGTATAGACAAAGCAAAATACAATATAGTTGGGAGGGGAAAGGAGAATCACAGGCAGGTAGAGAAGGATTTAGGAAGTGTCCTTTAACCTGAACTTCAAAGGAAATTAGGGATTTGAAGAGATGATGGTGAAAAGGAAGGGTACCTAGGCAGCTGAGTGGCTCAGTGGCTAGAGCACCAGGCCTGGAATTGGGAAGACCCGAGTTTAAATCCATCCTCAGACACTTATTTGCTCTGGGCAAGTCACTTAACCTCTATTTGCCTCAGTTTTTTTCATGGGTAAAATGGGGATAATAAAAGCACCTCCCTCCCAGGGTTGTTTTGAACATCAAATGAGCTAATAATTACAAAGAGCTTAGCACGGTGCCAGGCACATAGTCAATGTCACAGAAATATTAACTAGTATTATTACCTACCTCCAAGGGCAGTTGGCAAGATAAAATGAGGTAATATTTGGAAAGCGCTTTGCAAACCTTGAAGTACTATATAAATGTCAGCTGTTAGTATAATTATTTGGCATGTTAAGTGATTTGCTTAAAATGGTACAGCTGGTAAGTGTCAGCTGCTGCTTCAGCTTGAAAACACTGTCTCAGAAGTCACACCTGATCCACTGGCTTCCCTGTCTACTACCCTTTCCTAATGTTTCTACCTTTCTTACTGTGGACTTGTCTACCCTATTCACTGTAACTTCCTCTATAAAAAAAAGACCTAAACCTCATTTATTTCTCTGGGTACTTTACATACAATAGGATTGAACATTTTAAGAAAATTATTTTATTAATATTATTATTAAGACTGGCTCTCCCTATCTCACCCAGAATGGAGGTAAGAGAGGCTATTCAAGGGCTCCATGCCACTTTGATCAGCATGAGACCTTTGACCTGCTATGTTTCCAACGTCGGCCAGTTAGGGGGCCTACAGCTCCTTCTTAGGCAACCTGGTGGCCCCCAAGCTTTCAGAATGCATCATTTGATGCCAGAATTAGTCTAGACTATTATTGGTTACAACAACAGAAATTGAGCTCAAGAGATCAACCAGCCTCAGTCTCCCTAGTGACAAAGATTACATCATGCCCAGTTTAAAAAGAATTATGATGATCTTCTCAGACACCAACAAACATGACTATTTCCAAATACAAAGAACAGAATGAGAGAATTCTCATCTGAAACCAGAAATACCAAGCAAGTACTGCTTGGATTTTAAAGTATATGATAAATTTAACACAGCAATTCCAATGCTGTCCTCCCTGTCTGTGCCTTTTGTGGGCTTCCTCTTGCTGTTTTCTGTTTATTTCATGGGAATTTAACAAATGTTTGCCATCGTCTGACACTGAGCCAGGTCCTCGCTAACAGTTTTCCCCTCTCCATCCTATCTCAAGTCTTGTCTTCCTTATGGACATCAGAGAAAAGGGTAAGTGCTAAGCAATGAACTTTTGTTGCCCAGAAAGACGGCCATTTGTCACAGTGGAGTGGTAGAAAAGATCATAGGCCTTTGAGTCAGAAGACCTGGATTTAAGTTCTAACTCTTACTTAACTTAACTCTTATTTAATCTTGTCTTGCCTCAATCGATGCATAAAATGGAGATAACACCTGTATTACTGGTATTGTGACCTCAAAATTCCAATCCAATGGGCAATAAAAGGACAGGGAGGCACTCCATGCATTTTAGGAAGCCCAGGAGCCCCTCATCAATTGGGTCCAGGATCTTCCTCACAATCAGGGACCCCTCCCCTTGGGTGCTAGCTGCTTTTGCATACTTGGAAGAGTATGAAAAATAGAAAGAGGCAGTACAATTTGGTTAACACTGGCAACAGGGGAAACTATGATTGGTTGAGGGGCATGTCCATCAATCATAAACATTTTGTCAGTTGGCTTTTGAGCCATAAACTGCAGGTTTCCACCTATACCTCAGTACAGGTTTTCTTAGGAAATTGAACATCTGGTGTTTTGGTCAGTGGTATGCTAGGAAATAAGGAAGTGGTGGGCTAAAGGAAAGGGTGATGCTGCTGCTGCTGCTATAACAAGCTTCAGGGTTAAGTGTAATGTGCTACTCTATAAGAGACATAGGATTTTATCCTGTAACCTACAATGATGCCATTAATACATACATTAATACATAACATCAATACCACTAATATGTAAGAGGTTATTTGGTCCAAATATATAGAACTCTTCTCCTAACAGCATTAACATACATTACTAACTTAAACTTGATCCTATTCTGTTTAATTCAACATACAATCATTGATACCCATCAAATCACAATAAACTGAGTAAATGCTATTTATTTTGAGTACAGGATATAAAAATTATTGTCACAATATTATGGGGTTATTTTAAGGCTCAAATGTAATGATGTATATAAAATTATTTTTTTTTAACCTTAAAGCACTATTGTTAGGCATTTTTGTTGTGGCTATAATCCTTTCTGGAAAAAGATATCTCTTACCTGATACCCAGTATCAGTTCCAGGAAATTCCCTTAGAAGAGATACCTGAGACCTGAGAGTGGCATATGGGTAAATATTTTATAACAATTCCTTTTTTTTAAAAAGTGTCATTCAGGATGCAGTGGGGACAGAAATTCTGATCATAGACAGTAAAGATTGCAAACAGCTCTTAACTGACTAGAAAGAGGAGGGGGGGAGGAAGAAAGAAAAATGGCTAGGAGTCTGGATTTTTTTTTTTTTTTTGCGAAGTCGTCTTTTAGCTATGAGAAAGGAAAACATCTCTGGCCCAAGAGTGTGGCAAACCAGATTAAAATGTAACTGAGAGATTTTTAACAAAATAAATAAGAACACAATAGAACATAAATAATGTTAATATATATAGTTTTCTAAGTCAATATGTGGCCTCTAGGGATCGTTATATATGGTTTGGTTCCTCTTCCCCCCCCCCCCCAGGCACCTTCTATTTCACTTTCATATCACTGGATCATTGTACCTGAGTTGGAGCCTGAGTGATAACTAGCCTGACTAGCTGCATGACTGTGAGCAAATGAATTCCCCTCTCTGGGCCCCAGCTTCCTCATCCATAACAGGACTTAGTTGGACTAAATAATCTCGAAGTCCTTTTTGGCTGTAACATTCTGTCATTTGCTCATTGTACCTGAGGGCAACTACTGGTGGCTGGAGTATATTAGTGGTTGCCTGCTAATTACTAATTATTAACTATGATTAGTATCATAAGATTGATCCTTCAGGGTCTTTGGTGTCTCTGAGTGTCATTGAAATTGTACTTTAGTGTCTTCTTAGGAGATATTGGAAAGAGAGGGGGGAAGAGGGATAAAGGTGTGACCTCCTTGGACCGATTCTTCCCCCTCTTATTGTGTTGGGGGTCTCAACCCCAAGGGAACTAAGCAGCTAGATGGCTCAGTGGCTAGAATTCTGGACCTGGAATTAGGAAGACCTGTGTTCAAATCCAGCCTGAGACACTTACTAGCTATGTGACCACGGGCAAGTCCTTATCCTCTCTCTGCCTTAGTTTCCTTGTCCGTTAAAAAGGTATAATAACACCTTCCTCCTATAGAGTTGTTATGGGGATTAAATGAAATAATACTTATAAAACATTTTACAAACCTGAAAGTTCTATATAATGCTATCATCATCATCATCATCAGGTTTTCTGCATAGTCTATTTAGGGACTCAGAATCATGAGATTTCAGAATTGGAAATGACCTCAGGGACCACCTATTCCAACCTCTACTTAAAAAGATTCCTCTCTATAACACACCAGAAAAGTAGTCATCTAGCCTGCGATGGGGACCCATTGCCCCCTTAGGTAGCCCATACATGTTGGCACAGTTGTAACTGTTATGAAGTTTTATCCTGACAACTTAAATTGGCCTCTTTGTAACTTCTGTCCATTGCTTCTAGTTTTGCCCTCTGGGGCTAAGCAGAATAAACCTAATCTCTTGCACATGACAGCCTTTCCAATACTTGAAGACAACTGTCCAATACTTGAAGACAACTGTCCTGTCATGCCAAAGCCTTCTCTTCTCCTAAATAAACAACCCAGTCCCTTCTACTGATTCTCATTTAGCACGGACACTAGGCCCTTACCCCTCTGATTGTCCTTTTCTGGACTCTCTCCCACTTATCAAAGTCCTTTCTAAAATGTGACCCCCAACATTAAAGCATTGTAGGAGTTGTACTAGCCATTCTGGAAAGCAATTTGAAATTAAGTTTAAAAAGTGTCTAAAATTAATTTTAAAAGTGACTGGCTCCCCTTTGATCCAGATAACCCAATTCTGGGCACATACCTGAAGGAGGTCAGAAATAGAAAGAAATTTTGTCTTTCAGTTGTTTTTCAGTTTTGCGTAACTCTTTGTAACCCCATTTGGGATTTTCTTGGCAAAGATACTTGAATGGTTTGCCATTTTTTTCTCCAGATCATTTTACAGATGAGGAAACTGAGGCACAGAGAGTTAAGTGACTTACCCAGGGTCACACATCTATTTAGGGTCTGAGGCCCAATTTGAACTCAGGAAGATGAGTCTTCCTGACTCCAAGTCCAGCATTCTATCCAATGAGCTACCTAGCTGCCCACAGAAAGGTCCAATATTAATACAATATTTATAGCGTCACTTTTTGTAGTAGCAAAGAACTGGGACCAACATATATGATCGTTGATTGCAGTCTGGCTGATTGTGGTACATGAATACCATAGAATATCACTGTGCCATAAGGAATGACAAATGTGACCAATATGGAAAGCATGGAAAATTTTAAATAAAGTGATACCAAGTGAAAGAAGCAGAACCAGAA